CCCCCCCCCCCCCCCCCCCCCCCCCCCCCCTCACTACGCCACTGTTGGAGTGGAGGACACACTCGAGCCCCGTCTCTCCTGGTCCTCAAGACCACGTCGAGCTCCTCTTCCATTTAATTTCACTCATTGGGCTGGTTGTCTCTTGCAGATGGTTTTCATGAGCTTATTCCCAACCAGTAGTTGATGAATCAATAAATATCAATCCAGAAAGTTTTCTCGACGTTCATTCGAAATTTGCTTGCTTTTTAAAATTATTATTATAGGGAACCGTCCATTTTAAACTCCAGTCTCATCATATATATTATATCGTTTGTAACTTTGACCTGAATTAATTAATTTTTTTTGCAGCCTCGTTGATTTTCAAATAAATGAAACCATGCTACATCCACAGCGACTCTGGCGGCAAACATGATACGCTCAAAATTGTAATCTTTTCTGTCATACCCTGCAGACTCAGACTGAAAAAAAAAAACAAGAGAAATTAAAGAACGTTGAGAAAACCCTCTGGATTGATATTAATTGATTCATCTACTATTGGTTGGGAATAAGCTCATGAAAACCATCTGCAAGAGACCTGGATGAGATCAACCTCATGAATGAATTTAAATTATAATGGAGTTTGACGTGCTCTTGATGAGCAGAAGGGACGGCGCTCGAGTGTGTCCTCCACTTCACCACCCGCAGGAACTCTTGTCCATCCTCAATGTCTAACTTCTGCTCCATAATTGCTAATAGAATTGCTTTGGCTCGACAAGTTTTGGTGAAATTTGCAGTATCAGATGGAAACATACTCATATACGTAAAGTGATAGTTTTGCTAAAATAGCTCTATTGTGAGGGGAGATATTTAGGATGAAAGTCTTTGGTCATTTTTTTGCCATACCCATTATATAATAACTCCTTTGTATTTATGAGAGCGCAACAGACCGAGTTCTGACATCTAGCGGAAGAAAGAAGACATACATGTTTGAACGTCCCCTCCCTAGAGAGCCTGGAGTAACTAGTCCTCTCTTGACTAAGACCACGTGGTTTGGGCGTACGAATAGTCCCATCAGTAAGAGTGGATTCAGGTCGGCTTACGGTCTCTTTTTTTTTCGTGCTGAGTTGAATTCCTCTAAGATTGTGAAGCCCCGTAAAGAGTATGCCTGTTATTCGGAGAGTTGTGTGAGTTCCTTCTCATCTTCCTTTTACTTACTCCCTCCTTCTGCAGCACGCTAACATAGAATATACCCTTTCACAGTTTGGTTAACGTTAGGCCTAAACATTTTAGAAGTCCCTTGCTGAACGCTAACTACCTGTCTCACTGCTTGCTGTCGCCTTTGTGAGAAGTGCACTACTTTTTAGGTCTTTTCCCCAAACAGTATATATTTTTGTATGATACAGGAAAAAAATCCTAATTGAGGAAAAGGTCTATCCCTTATTATGCCCTTCTACGCCCATGAAAGGGCCAGGATCTAGGTTATCTTCTTTTTTTTTTTATATAAGCGCCTCACAAGCCACAAGACTTCCTCATTACTCTCATAACCATGATTATCATGGGCCTTCATTTAGTTGCTAGGAGGGCAATTTTCTTAGCTTATGTATGGGACCTGAATCCAAGTATGTCTGTGAAATAAAGATCAATTACAATGTTCTGGATTCTGAACTTGGGCTCAATGGATATAACATTTATCATTAGAAATGAGGAAGGCAGAAGGACATTATTAGCTAGGGCAGCAATAATCTAAACTTTGTATGTTGCTCAGAGCTCTCTTTGCCAACAGAGGCCTTCTGGGCAAAAAAATACTTTCCTGGATAAAAATGTCTTATTTCGTACAATATTGATTTGCCTACTATCCTACATCCCTATTAAAGACAAGAACATAAAATTGTCATGTCACTGATGTGTCCATTTCATAGATCTAAGGTAAGCCTTCAGTATATTGTGATAATTGTGATCACAAACCATGAGGTATTATAGCAACATATTGCAACTAATCCCCAAGGAACAAGAGGATTGCCAAGATTTGGTCATAAAGGTTCCTTAGATACTATTGCACAACTTTTCATATCTGAGGACTAGTAGAAACAGGCTAGGCACATGCTTTTTTTTTTATGCAGCAATCCTCATCATCAAATGCTAACTCTGGTATTGATGGGAAGGCATTAGAATGACGATATATTCCAGGTTTTGCTGCCTCCAGCCCTTTCCTGCACTGAGAAATTTTGCCTCTTAGGCATGTTGCAATAGCCTAAACTCTGGCCTATCATAAGCTTAAGACCTAAAATACCTCTGCACTAATTATGTGAAGTTTTAGCCTCATCTCATTAAATTCATCTTGGGTCTTCATTAGAATGGAACTCAAACCTCCATCTTCATGCATTTCATAATTCTATGAATCAGCTTATGTTGTCTTGTTGAATTTTAAAGACCTGGTGTTGTCTTTTTCTTAACCATAGGAAACCACGTACGCAGCGAGCAAAGCGTGCATTGGTCCGAAGAGAACCACAGCTGATTGAGAATCCCAAAAATGCCATGTTCCTCCGTGGATCAAATTGTAGTCAGCTTGTAGTTGAATTTTTTCACTGTCGTTTAACACAGCAGCACACATGTTAATACCTGCAAAGAAGAAGAATTGGATGTACTTTCAGATTATATCACGATCACACTTCTAGCTATTACAGTACTTCCCCGGCAGGGGGGGGGCTATCATTGTTTGGCACCCTTTATACTGTATAGTACGCAGGGTATGACAAAAAAATGACCAACGACCTTTTAACCTGAATATCTCCCCTCACAATAGAGCTACATTCGTGAAACTCTCACTATGCATATATGTTCATGTCTCCAACTGATACCTCAAATTTCACCCAAATTTGTTGCGTCAAAACAATTCAATCAGCAAATATTGAAAGAAGTTAGACTTTGAGAATGGACAAGAGCTCCTGCTGGTATTGGAGTGGAAGACACACTCGAGCCCCGTCTCTCCTGGTCCTCAAGACCACGTCGAGCTCCTCTTCCATTTAATTTCACTCATTGGGCTGGTTGTCTCTTGCAGATGGTTTTCATGAGCTTATTCCCAACCAGTAGTAGATGAATCAATAAATATCAATCCAGAGAGTTTTCTCGACGTTCATTCGAAATTTGCTTGCTTTTTAAAATTATAATAGGGAACCGTCCATTTCAAACTCCAGTCTCATCATATATATTATATCGTTTGTAACTTTGACCTGAATTAATTAATTATTTTTTGCAGCCTCGTTGATTTTCAAATAAATGAAACCATGCTACATCCATAGCGACTCTGGCGGCAAACATGATACGCTCAAAGTTGTAATCTTTTCTGTCATACCCTGCAGACTCAGACTGAAAAAAAAAAACAAGAGAAATTCTAAAAGAACGCTGAGAAAACTCTCTGGATTGATATTAATTGATTCATCTACTATTGGTTGGGAATAAGCTCATGAAAACCATCTGCAGGAGACCTGGATGAGATCAGCCTCATGAATGAATTTAAATTATAATGGAGTTTGACGTGCCCTTGATGAGCAGAAGGGACGGCGCTCGAGTGTGTCCTCCACTTCACCACCCGCAGGAGCTCTTGTCCATCCTCAATGTCTAACTTCTGCTCCATAGTTGCTAATAGAATTGCTTTGGCTCGACAAGTTCTGGTGAAATTTGCAGTATCAGATGGAAACATACTTATATACGTAAAGTGAAAGTTTTGCTAAAATAGCTCTATTGTGAGGGGAGATATTTAGGATGAAAGTCTTTGGTCATTTTTTTGCCATACCCATTATATAATAACTCCTTTATATTTATGAGAGCGCAACAGACCGAGTCCTGACATCTAGCGGAAGAAAGAAGACATACATGTTTGACCGTCCCCTCCCTAGAGAGCCTGGAGTAACTCTTGACTAAGACCACGTGGTTTGGGCGTACGAGTAATCCCATCAGTAAGAGTGGATTCAAGTCGGCTTACGGTCTCTTTTTTTTCCGTGCTGGATTGAATTCCTCTAAGATTGTGAAGCCCCGTAAAGAGTATGCCTGTCATTCGGAGAGTTGTGTGAGTTCCTTCTCATCTGCCTTTTACTTACTCCCTCCTGCAGCACGCTAACATATAGAATATACCCTTTCACAGTTTGGTTAACGTTAGGCCTAAACATTTTAAAAGTCCCTTGCTGAACGTTAACTACCTGTCCCACTGCTTGCTGTCGCCTTTGTGAGAAGTGCACAACTTTTTAGGTCTTTCCCCCAAACAGTATATATTTTTGTATGATACAGGAAAAAAATCCTAATTGAGGAAAAGGTCTATCCCTTATTATGCCCTTCTATGCCCATGAAAGGGCCAGGATCTAGGTTATCTTCGTTTTTTTATATAAGCGCCTCACAAGCCACAAGACTTCCTCATTACTCTCCTCTCCATGATTTATCATGGGTCTTCATTTAGTTGCTAGGAGGGCAACTTTCTTATGTATGGGACCTGAATCCAAGTATGCCTGTGAAATAAAGATCAATTACAATGTTCTGGATTCTGAACTTGGGCTCAATGGATGTAACATTTATTATAAGAAATGAGGAAGGCAGAAGAAGGACATTATTAGCTAGGGCAACAATAATCTAAACTTTGTATGTTGCTCAGAGCTCTCTTTGCCAACAGAGGCCTTTTGGGCAAAAAATACTTTCAAGGATGAAAATGCCTTACTTCGTACAATATTGATTTGCCTACTATCCTACATCCCTATTAAAGACAAGAACATAAAATTGTTATGTCACTGATGTGTCCATTTCGTAGATCTAAGATAAGCCTTCAGTATATTGTGATAATTGTGATCACAAACCATGAGGTATCATAGCAACATATTGCAACTAATCCCCAAGGAACAAGAGGATTGCCAAGATTTGGTGATAAAGGTTCCTTAGATACTATTGCACAATCTTTCATATCTGAGGACTAGTAGAAACAGGCTAGGCACATGCTTTTTCTTTTATGCAGCAATCCTCATCATCAAATGCTGACTCTGTTATTGATGGGAAGGCATTAGAATGACAATATATTCCAGGTTTTGCTGCCTCCAGCCCTTTCCTGCACTGAGAAATTTTGCCTCTTAGGCATGTTACAATAGCCTAAACTCTGGCCTATCATAAGCTTAAGACCTAAAATACCTCTACAATAATTATGTTAAGTTTTAGCCTCATCTCATTAAGTTCATCTTGGGTCTTCATTAAAATGGAACTCAAACCTCCATCTTCATGCATTTCATAATTCTATGAATCAGCTTATGTTGTCTTGTTGAATTTTAAAGACCTGGTGTCTTGTCTTTTTTTTAACCATAGGAAACCACGTACGCAGCGAGCAAAGCGTGCATTGGTCCGAAGAGAACCACAGCTGATTGAGAATCCCAAAAATGCCATGTTCCTCCGTGGATCAAATTGTAGTCAGCTTGTAGTTGACTGCATGAAAGACCTGGTGATTTCCTATGTTTCTATCCTCTTGACAAATTGCAATGACTCTTTCTTGCCAAACAGTGAGATTCTTACAAAAAGTATTTAATCTTATTCAGGTGGCTTTGAAGAAGCCTTTGGCCACATACTTCAATCGACGGAATGAAATTCGTCCAATGGAAGATGTCACTCCACTGGAGAGCTTTGGAAAGCAGCATGATTGCTCTTTGTTTGCCATGGGATCACACTCAAAAAAGAGACCCCATAATCTTATAATTGGTCGTCTGTATGACTACCACCTCTTGGACATGGTGGAACTGGGCATTCTCAGTCATTCCAAGATGTCCTCATTTCATATAAATGAGATCATGACAGGTGCCAAACCTGTCATCATCTTCTCAGGAGAAGCATTTCAGACTGAGCCTCAGTATCAGCGTCTAAAGAATCTTTTCCTGGATTTCTTCAGAGGCGAAGAGGTAACATCAGTGAGACTGATGGGACTTGAGCATGTCATCTGCATCACAGCTGTTGAGGCCAAGATTCTTCTTCGCTGTTATCAGTAAGTCACCCTAAATTTTCTAATTGGGAACACATGAAAATGTTATCGATGCTTTCTCTCTCAATTATCTTCCCAAATATATTTTCCTCAAATATATTTTTTTTCCTATATTAAGTGTCCAGTACAAGAAGTCAGGTAGTGAGACACCACGTGTAGAGCTAGAAGAGATGGGTCCAGCAACGGAGTGGGAATTGCGACGGATGCGCCTGGCATCTGATGACCTCTTCAAACTTGCCACTCGCATGCCAAAGCAACTCAAGGTGTGTGCATGTCCTTCCCAGGCAATTATCGTAACTTTCATCGTCAGAGTGAGGATTCATATCTATATGTTTTCTTCCTCAGGTGAAGAAGAAGAAAAATTTGAGCAAGGATGTGTTTGGCACCCAAGTTGGTCGCATACACATGCAGCGTCAGGATCTTGCAAAACTCCAGACTAGGAAAATGAAGGCATTAAAGAAGGGTGGGAAGAACAAGAAGCCCTCTGATTTATCATCTGAGACATTGGCACAACCAATGGAAGCAGAATGAATTCCAGATTGTTTCTGTTCTATTTGTACTACTGATTTTAATATGAATGAAACAAGTTCAAACTGAAAGGAAGGAAACGGAGCTAATGAAAATTTTTTATGGCTTTGCATCAGTCATATATTCACATAGTTGCATGTATATTCTGCTGTATTTGCTGTTTTCTGACTACATATCCCACCAGAGCTGGGCAAAATACAAGCAATTGTGCATTTAAATACAAAATACAAATGCCCATGAAAAAATGTATTGTAAATACAAAATATAAAATATGTACTTCAAAATACAGTTGAAAGTACAAAATATAAAAAGTTTCAAGTTTACATTATGCCTTTCAGATTTGGTCCAAAATCAGGAACCACGGCCGGATTAAGGGAGGGGGGGGGGGGCAAAGTGGGCAGTTGCCTCGGGTTCCACTTTTCCAGGGCCCCCCCCCCCCCTGAAGAAAATTAAAAGCATTAAGTATTCGTGGAGGTTAAGTAATGGATATTACAAATTAAAATTTGCACCGCCAGCGCTTGACTGTATGGCAGTGGTGCACAACCTTTTCGGCTGGGGGGGCACATAGCTCACTCCCACAGCATCGCGGGTCAGTTACTAATATTTCGGGAGACTATTGGGGAGAGAATTGCAAAATGCCATCGGAAGTGAGATTCAGAAAGCGAAGTATTATGCCATCATAGTAGACTCCACCCGATTTGTCGAATGTGGATCAGTTGTGCATGGTATTTCGCTATTGCCTGTGTGGAGAGGTTCTGGAGCGTTTTCTACCTTCGTACCAATACGCAACCACACGGGAAAATCTTTGAGAGACACAGTGCTCGCTATTCTCGGAGACAATGACATCCATATAAGTAATTGCCGAGGACAAAATTATGACATCGCCAGGAACATGTCAGGAGAATATGAAGGCCTGCAGGCCCATATTAAAGACAAGAAAGCATGCTCTCTTAGTACCGTTCGCAGCGCATTCGCTAAACTTGGTTGGACAAAACAGCGTTGATGTCTTCAAGCAGTGACATTTTCCCGCTTCCTAGAATCGCTGTACGTGTTTTTTGCAAATTTCACACGTCGATGGGCAGTCACCGAAGAGACACTCAACATTTCTGAAAGACCCGAAAGGCACATTGCTCCGATCAAAAGTCTCTCCCAGACACGTTGGTCGTCGAGAGAGGAGGCAACCAAAACTCTAGCACAATATTATAATAGCATTTTCGAGGCATTAAATGCTATCGCCAACGACACCAACGAAAAGCGCGACACAAAACTGCAAGCTGAATCTCTCAAGAAAAAAATGCAGACTCTTGAATTATCATTTATGACAGTTCTTTGGAACAAGATCCTTGAAAGATTTGATGGTGAGAGAAAACACAGACACCTGGGCTTGACGTCGTTTCTGGGAAAACCTTACTTGTCTCCCTCATTGACTACGTTGCCAAGCTTAGGGAATGTTTCGACGACATTGAAGTGGAATCAAAGAATCTAAGTCCACACGTGCTTCAGACACTTCGATGAGACTCGCAATACGCGACCAGGAACTCGATTGTTCCCAGATGGAAAGGACGAGTTAAAAGCGACTGGGCGAGATCGATTTCGTATTGAAACTTTCAACGTTATCATCGACAAGCTAAAGATCGAACTTGAACGAAGATCATCTGCTTACAGTGAGGTGGCCAGTGTGTTCGGAGTTCTAATGGAACTTGACTCCGCGGAAGAAATAGATATTAAAAAAAGAGGCCGAAGCATTAATTCAAGCTTACCCAAGAGATTTGGAGCCAGTCCTTTACTATGACTTGGAATATTTTGTGCCCCTTCATTCAGCATTCAAGTCTTGCGGATTGCGAGAGGACAGCGCCAAAACTTCAGAATATGCTGTGCACAAGAGGCTTGGTAGATGTGTTCCCGAACGTCGCTGTAGCTCTGCGCCTTTGCCTGACTCTTCCCATCTCAAACTGCGAGGGAGAACGATCGTTTTCGAAACTATCCCATTTCAAGAATAAATTTAGATCTACAATGCTACAACCGCGATTGAACTCACTGGCGCTTATGTCCATAGAGCACGACCTCCTAAGGAAAGTTTCATTCGACGACCTGATCTCCGAGTTTGCTGCCGCGAAAGCAAGGAAAATGATGATTTAAGGCAAGAGATTCACCTGTTCTATTTATTTAGTAAACAAATATATTCTTTCTGAGCATTGTAAGGTAACCAATAAACTGGTATTTTAAGTATGCGTACTGGTAGTTGCCGTGACTTAGGGTTAGGGTTAAATAATTATTTCTAGCTAAGTAAAATGCATAAGGGGGCCCCAAAAACCACTTGCCCCGGGCCTCGCAACTTCTTAATCCAGCCCTGTCAGGAACCCTTCACAAGTTCTGACCATTGGCCTTCACAGCACATTGGCTGAGCATGGCATTCTTTCTGTTTTCCTTTCTGAATCCCAGACTGCTCCCCCTGTTACCATTTTTAATCCTCAACGAGATTTGAATGTACTCTCTGAAAGCAAAGAATAGAAATATTAACCTGCATTGGCAAGATTCGGACTTGCTCAAGGCCTAGGTCCTAAGATGGCCAATATATCACAAATCAAAACCTAGCTCGGGCCAAGGATAGGTTGTGTCAGCATATTCACACCAAGATATTGCAATATAACCAACCTTCAAATGTTTGAAGAGCATGGATGTTGCAGCTAGAGTTCCATAAATCACTTTCTCTGTTGAGCATGCAGCTCATTTGGCCTTGACCTTCTACCCCTCATTCAGCAATACTGAAAAACTTTCTATCCAAATATGAAGGCAAGCCCTTCTGAGATAGCCATGTTTGAAGTTGCACTGAACCAATTAAAAAGTATTTTATATTTTGTCAAATGTATTTCAAAGTACATTTTTTGCAGAGTACTATATTTCAAATATAAAATACAAATACATTTTTTGACATGTATTTAACTACAAAAATTACTTAAATGTATTTAAATATAAATATGAATCAATTGAAGTGGATATTTGTATTTTTAGTTTTTCAAGAATTTTGCTGTTACCTGTTAGTAAAATGTGTCAAAATAGAATAAATGGTCTTCATTTGCAATTCTGTATAATTGTAAATAATACGTTGAAAGGAATTTCCTGTCATTCATCTCGCTACAAAAGTGCATTCAAGTTACTTTTAAACGTGAGAACCTAAAATATCCACTTTAATAGACATGCAGGGTTTTAAAAACGTGCACCTTTTCTTTGCAGAGTATGGCATAAAGGGGGCTTGAGATGTGTCCTTGGTGTTTGAATGTATGAGGCATACGTGTCTTCATGGGGTGAAGGGACCTGAGAGCCAAAGTCCAATTTCGAAATACACACTTACACGTTCAAGTTTTTCATACTCGGCGCCATTCTAACTGTTGCTCGTATGCTTCTGGCCCTCCTTCTGCCCTCCCTTTTTTGCTAAGGCTCATTACCCTTTGATACATGCATGAGTATGGATGTGTGACTCTTATAGAGGTTTTCATGGGAATTCATCAAAGCAGAGAGTGAGCCCAGTGCATTAAGAGAAACGAAAATGAGCTGGAAGATGAGCAGAAGGTTGGTCACTGGGGAAAGAGGGTCAGAGCATCCTGCTTCCCTCTTTTTCAGAACGGCTTTACCCCCTTTTGTATTTCATCAGCAGTTCAGCATGATAATGTATGTGGATGGTGTTCAAAGGAAACTGTCTCAGCAATCCATGGAGAATTAGAAGCATTTTGAAACATCAGCTGAAATTTGCCCTAGAACTGAGACTCAATAATGTCATTTTTGAGCCCCAGTCCTGGAGTCCTGCCCCTTTCTCCGTATACTTTGTTGGGCTATATAGGAATGCCCGACCTTGAGAACTGGCGGGACTTATGAATCCCTGTGACCTCTTTTGGAATTTGCATTTTTGTAGTCAATGACGTTTCATAGTGGATGGTTGAATGATGAAAAACAATTTTTTACATAATTTACATTTTTAAATCAGTTATTAAAGGGTTAAGCTAAACTTAGATTATTGAAGCTAAAACTAAACTGAATGATAGGAAATGAATCCTTGCCTCTACAGGCCCGAAATACGAGTATTTTCGGTGCACTTAGTTACCGTGTGCGTAATGAATCAAGAGGGTAATTAAGTTTAAAAAAAAAAATTTTTTTCATTCCGAGTTCCGAGCATTGATGTCTTGAAGTCTAGGGTAGGACGAGAGGCATTCCAGCTCAAGTGATCAAGGGGTGGTTGCGCTTCAGACTCCGATTTGCTTGAAAAAATTGTTGCATGTTGGCAATCACGACTTATGAAAAAATCCAAAATTTTGCCTCTCTGGTTCTAACGAATCTCGAGATATGTGCCCCCAAACTTCGCCCCCAAGAGGAAAAGTGGTCTTTAGGGTTAAAGCGCTATCTTTGGTCCTAGTCGAGCTAGAAACGCCTTTTTGGACTGTAAGTAAAGCTGAGACAATGGAAAATCGCATTATTAAAGGCATTTTATAATGCGTTTATTACAATTTGAGTTACGCAATGTCCAAAATTGTAAATATTGCAGAATTTTGCACGCAAATTATTAGCACTAGGATGCATGGTAACACCACGACATTTCGCAACATTGTAGACTAAGACAACTGCAATTCAAGAACTAAATTTCAATCTCCTACGTTTTATTAAACAACTTAAAATTAAATTTGGAAAGTCCAAAATTGCCTATTTTCACCAACTTTGGCGGTTCGTACTTCTTGTTTTAAACAAGACATAAACTTGTAACGAGTGTCAAATGAAAGCTCTCTCCAAGCGCTTTCCATTGATATATTACTCGTGTTGTTACTTTTACTTTTCATTTCTGTGTGTTTTTTTGAACTTTTAAATTCCGCAAATTCCCAAACGAAAGGTATGACTGAAATTACAGCGATGGGAATCTTGGTTAAACAACCAGACCTATGCATATCTCACATTTGACTCATGAATATCGCTATTTCTATTACATGCTTGCATTAAGCAATAAAATATCAATATTCAACATGTTAATGGATTCCTAAACGCAATAATTTAGTCGGTATCTTTAACGCATGCATGCATATACATTTCAGAAGATTCA